GATTTTAGACATATTTATTAGCTCAAATTAATGAATTAATTAAGCAAAGTCCTTTAGTCATTAATTAGTTTATTAAGTCTTATTTACAAACACAAGTCACACCAAACGGTTAGGAAATACACATAAAGTATGCACAAGTAGTCAAGTAGTCACAATATGATGCAATGAGTTTGCAACCTAACCATGGCTCTATTTCTCTAAAGTTCGGGATATGGGTTAGTCAAAGAGGGTCCATGGTTACTTGTCCGGATGCACCGTGCGGAAGCCTAACCGTGAAGGGTTGGCGCGAGTGGATGGGACACCGCGAGTTAAGAACTCGCTTCCATGGTTTGGTGAATTCAACATTCTCGGATGTACCCTTTGTTGCAAAGAGTATTCAATCAGGTAGATAGAGCATGAATTCCCAGAGGTTATGTCCATATGTAGAATACATATGGGTTTTAGAAAAGTGAGAAAAACTCAATCAGGAAGTAGGATCGAGCAAACAGTGCTAAAAACTGGTCGAAATTAGAACGCATATTTTTGGCTCGGTATTGGAAGAACTTGGCGCCAGCAAACCGAGGTCGGCGCCACAATTTGGCTTTAGCGCCTGACGACAGAAGTTGTCTCCTAGCGCTAAAGTCAAATAAGTGGCGCTAGACTTTGTTTCCTTACGCTAGTTCCTACATGCCTCAGCAGCTTTCTGTGCTCGATAAAATTTTCCAGTTTCGTGCAGCATTATTTCGATCCTAGTTGTGAAAGATATTCCTCAAATTTCCTACGTGTAAAAATCCTATGTTTTAACTCATTACGAATGGTCTTTCCAATGAGATCTTTTTTATGCATATGACAATAATGTTAATCAAAATTACGCACATGAAATACTTAGAACTTTTCGAGTCTCATCCACTCATTCTAAATCATTGCCGAAATAAATTTCAGGAACTAAAATAGAAATCCTCCCTAGTGGAGTCGCCAAAAACTGTAGGGAATATTTCAAGCATTACCCCTAACTTGAACCCCACTGTGATCATACATTAAAGTACGGTGGCGTCCAAAGGGAAAGAAGATAGAGCAAAAGAGTCGCCAACAAGTTTTAGGAACTTGTAAATCGTTCACGAGGTGAAGGTTACACCCCTTAACGATCCAGGAGATCGTTAACTCCAATAGATCTGGAACCATGACTGGTAGTTCGGGGATGAAGGTACAAATCCAACCTAAAAGAGATTGAACCTGTCCTAATAATAGGCCTCTACTTTATTCTGATCGTATTCATGTGCGCTTTCTGACTAACATACAATCAATAGGTTTACCTTAAACCTGTTTATCTATGTTGGTTGAATATTATTGCACAAATAAATCTATTATTGGTGATCACTTGAATTATAATTATATTAACCCTAACAAGATTATTAATTATCTTATTAAGCGTGATTACAAGTACCAATTCCCTTTAAACATGCATAAAAGGCATGATCAAGCAATAACAATAAATATAATCAAGCAACATAATAATAACAAATAATAATAATCATAATCATCATAATAATCATAATAATAATAATAATAATAATAATAATAATACTAATAATAATAATAATAATAATAATAATAATAATAGTAAGATCCTAGGCATGATACTAACAAGATTAATAACAAACCCTAGCATGTTTAAACAATAAAAATCAAATATTTAGCCCTAACATGATACTAACATGAATATTAGGAAAGAAAATAGGAAGCATCACAGGAATCACAATTATTATATTTGATATTAGAAATTTTAGTTGTTACCCTAAACATGATACTAGGAAGATCAAAACACCCTAATATGACGCTAGGAATCATAATAGCAACCTAGACATGATTTCTATATCATAATATCAATAAATCAATTAAAGCACTTACTTGGATGTCTCATATCTCTTTCTAATAACAAAATAAACGCGTTAGTAACTTCAAGGAAAATATTTAAACAATTAAATTAAATAATTGAAATAAAGATATGGGACCAAACCCTCATAAATATTAAACCTTTCACGTCTAGGGTGAAGACAACTTCGAACAATGCTAGGTGTGTCTAGTGCTAATGTATGAGGAATTGTGTTTGTAAAATGGTTGGTTTAGAAAGAGAGAGAGAATCAAGAAATTCATGATGAGAGTTGATGGGAAGAAAGAATTAGAAATAATAAGAATTGATGATTGAAAACAGAATTTTAAGAGGCTATTTATAGAGAAAATCAGTCGGATGGATAAAAAACAAATCAGAGTTTCAACGAAAATAAAACACGATTAGCGCCAGACACTGGTTATTAGCGCTAGGCGCTGAAGGTTAGCGCCAGGCGCCAAGCCTTAGCGCCAGGCGCTAATGCTTGTCGTCAGGCGCTAATAATCAGTTTCACGCATTTTTGTTTTTATCATATCTTTTGATCCAGAAGTCCAAATAAGGCATATAATATATCGTTGAAAAGCTCTTGAAGTCTAATTTCCAATCCAATTGGAATATATTAAAATATTTTGTAGATAAAAAGATATTGCCGAAATAGTGGAAGGGTGTCAGTTTTGGATAGAGTTTTGTATTCCATTCACATCTTTTTCGTAATAGCTCGGATTTAATATTATAATATATCATTGGAAAGATAATTTCAAATCTATCTAACCATATAAAATTTGGATAAATATTATGAGGCACGATAATAAAATCTGAAAATATTCCACTTCGTACAAAACAAGGATTCTAAAAAGGAGTAGTTTTATTCAATTTCAAACTCTTTGAAACATAATTATCAATTCTAACTCCATTAGGATTTAAAAGAACCTTCTAAAATATTCTAGAAGACTATACTCAATCCTAATAGTTTTAGGAATGATAATTAATAATAGGCCCTCCCCTACATCATTGGGCGGCATATAAAAAACAAATCGGGCCCAATTTAGTATTTTGGCCATAAATTCCTCATTATTCATCGGAATTGGGCTTATAATATATCGTTGGAAAGGTCTTTTCAAGCCCTATCCAACTATACTATTATTGGACCCTTATCATGGACCAAACTAAACTGGAATGCACGTTTTTTATAAATAAGGTAAGAAAAGAAATATTTTCAAAAACAGAAAGAAGAGATATTTTAATAAAAACATCCTCATCACTAGACTTTTCACACTTTCTCTTTGTTCGATAATCAAATGACATGAAAGGTATTCATCACTGGGTTTGGTTTTGGGGAGACACAAATGGGTGTCTACAGTACGAGATCGAGGTTCTTACCAGAATTCAAATAGTGGGACAAGCAAAGATCAAGAACAAATATGAGGTTTTTGCACTGCCAGTCTCAGTTGTGAGCAAGGACTTCTAAGGAAAATATACATGTTTTTTGTGTTAGTGGCTTCCTTTTGATGATGTGTCGTCATTCATGTATGATTTTGCTTAAGCCACTAGTTGTTAAGAATGTTTGATGCATCTTTTCCCTTTCGTTTACTTCATTATTTAAATATATATTATTTTGATGGACTTTTTACAAAATTGAAATATCCTCACGAAGGGCGTGATAGATTGGGCAAGGCATGTACTCAATGTAGTAAAATACAACCATGTCAAATTTCCTTTTGTGGCATTTGAGCCAAACCATGTAATATATTATTAAAATTAGTAATGGTTATTAAGTTGTTTATTAAACATGTTACAATTTAAGTTCAGATTGGATTTTACCTATTAGACAGGTTTGAATTCATCTTAAGATTGAATGTCACCTATAAAGATTGCATGTTAACTATGAAACATGTTAAATTCATGGTATTATTCAATTTTCAATACCAAAGTCCAATATTCAATACACAATGCAAAGGTTTGGTTATTGGTATTATTATTGAAAGCCAGTATCATTATCCGGTGGGCCATATGGTTAAATCTATTATATGGGCCTTTTGCTTAAATATATTATATGGCCATATGGTTAAATATGTTATATGGGCCTTTTGCTTAAAAATATTATATGGGTCAAATGGCTAAATCTATTATATGGGCCTTTTACTTAATAGATCATCTAAATGTACTTGTACTTGTCATCTTTTAATAGATCATCTAAATTGATACTACCATTAACAAAACTAGAACAATGTTGACATAACTAGAAGCCATAATAGATAACCCCTAATTGATAATTCCATTAACAAGACTAGTACAATGTAAACACAAGTTAAACATAGTACATTGATATTAGTGAGAACAAACGAAGTTCAGTTATAAGTATTCCTAATAATATCTGTAGTAAGGACTTAATTGGTGGCAACACTTCAGCAAAAGGGATATGTGTGGAGCGATTCCATTAGAACTCTATTGACTTGCTCGATGCTCCAGTTTCAATATTGGCACCATTTTGCTGCTACTCTAAAGTCAAAGGGATCGTTCTTGTTAGCAATATTAGACCGTAAGCATCTTCTTTTAGACTGCAACAGAGGAAGCCAATTATCTTAGTTAAGTAAAAAAAGTTTCGAGCAATTAAACAAAGGTTGCTATAAAGCTTACCATGGATGAACCATTGAATGAGGATGGGTAGAATGTGTCCAGTATGTACTGAGTGGAAGGTTGTACACACCATTTCAAGGGCATATCAGTAAGATGGTTGACAGTAAAAGTATACATAAAATTGAATTTTACACTTACGTCGTTACGTTATTGGCCGGGTACGTCCTTGTACCCTTTCTTCGCTAATGTTTTGTTGTGCCCACCCTTTGGCCTTCCCCTGTGCCTTTTAGGTTTAATTGGGTCTAAAATGGTACCTGTGGTAGCAACACAATGGTTAGTTTCAATGGTGTGCAATTGAGACACTGCCTTTGCTGGGTGTCCCTTGCGCTTCTGTGTTATTTTACTAGGATCATGAACTGGTGGGGGGTAGGCTGGGGAAAGGATTCAATCGCAGCAGACTTAGGAGGTCGTCCCCTGCGCTTCTTCACTTCACGGGGTTGTTCTAGATGGCCAACTGTGGTATTGTTCTTGTCAGTAGCAAAGGTTGTGCCTGCATCTAGATCTCTAAGTTTGTTTGCATCATCATTAGCTGAGATATCAACTGTTGGTTGTTCATTAACATCCAACAAGTACTGACCCCCCCCCCATCACCATCACCCTCCCCTACAGCGGGGTCATCGTAATACATAACTTCATCATTAACTAAATTATGTACAGAAGACATAGTCACAACTACATCTACTGACTTGGGTTGGGAAGGACCAGGCCCACTAGGGAAGGCAACAACTTCTGGAAGTGGATTGAGTTCATCTTTCTTCTGTTTAAGCTTCTGGACTTGAGCCTTCAATTTAGCAATACCCTGTAGAACAACCTGAATAGCTGCATCATCAGCTGTCGAAGCCACTTCAGAAAATGGCTCAAAAGCATTAAGCATCTTGTTACACCTCTTAATTGTCACCGAAAGTGAGGGGTCATGATAGGGTACTTTAACCCTCGTGTGCCTAGGCATAACGTCCTTGTGCCATTGAGTGAGGATATATTTCTCAGGGATCTCAAAAACCAGATTCTGATCAAGAATGCGCATACTGTGCTTACACATTATGCCAAATGTCTCAAACTTACGACAGTCACACTCTTCTTTCGTAATAGTGTCAAAGGTAACGCGATAAAACCTCCTCCTATCAGTTATTTCCTCATGACTATGCCCCAGTGGAACAATCCACACCCGATCCTCTAGCAAGTATTAAACAACGTTATCTGATAACCACTGTTCATCTAGGTAATGGAAATACATCAGCCTAGATAATTCAGTATGAACCTCTTGAAATTTTGTGTCAGTGTACAGCCTTTGAACCACCTTCTCCAACTTAAAACCACTCATCAACCTTCTAAGGTATTTTGAGCAGTTATCATCAACATCCACCTCGTCTTTCACGTGCTTCATCATAGCTCGGGTGTATTGCCTTGGGAACTCAAACAACTTGGTTTTTTGATTTACAAAGCCATCGAAAAAGCTGTTTGTACTCTCCACTCTCTGCGTCATTTTCATGCCCGCCCAAAAAAACTCCTTCATGAATGCAGGCACCCACATGTGCCTTTCTTCATATAAACCACACAACCATTCATTACTTTCAAGGTTGTACTGATTGATTGTAGCAGTCCAACTCCTTTCAAACTCATCAATCGTAAAACTCTCTTATACAACAGATTTAAGCTTGTTCTTAAACTCATTATACCTGTACCAAATGATGCCAGTAGGATTCAAACAAAAATATTTCAACAACTAAACAATAGACAATTATAACCTATAAATCACATCATAATTCAGACTCAGAATAAGCTGCCAGTAGGGTAAATTATCTGATTTCAAAGCAAAGGTTGGAAAAGTGATCAAATAAGAGATAGGGCACTTCCAAAGGTAATTTCCCTTTGCACCAAAAACAAAGGAAATTTCCCTAGCTTATCTATAAATTTGGACAGTATATGCCAAATACACCACCTATGTCTTGTATTAGGCATCAGTTCAGCCAATGGTTTACGCATCGCGACAGCTTGATCAGTTAGAAAACCTAAAGGTGCTTTGCCACCCATGCAAGTCAACCATTGCTGGAAAACCCAACGGAATGCTTCTGAATCCTCGTGAGAATCAAGTGCACATCCAAGCAATAGAGATTGTCCGTGGTGGTTCACCCTAACAAAATTAAGAAAGGGAAATTCATACTCGTTAGTAAGGTAGGTTGCGTCAAATTAGACTATATCACCAAAGCATTCGTACGCAGCCCGACTTCGGGCAACAGTCCATAAAACATCTATCAACCCGCCATCAGCATCAACCCTATTTGCATGGAAAAAATTCTGATTATCGACCATCATATACTCAAAATAAGCCATCATAGCAGCCGAGTCACCGCCTTGCATCTTAGATTTCCGCTTCTTATAAACTTCATGCTGAAAATCTTTCACAGTCATAGTCAAATTTTCTTCCATTTCAGTCCCAAGATAACTGTGAATTTTACCAACTAGAACACCCTCCTCATAATAATTCATTAACTTCTTCCTAACATTAGATGAGTAATTCTTCATTCTGTACTCCTTAACCAGTTTTGCTTTGCCTGGGCTTGTTAAGTGTTTATGTTTTAACTCTGCAGTCTTAATCTCCCTCACACCTTCCCCATTCACAATTGCATAAATCCTTGCCTCGCACTCACACTTCTTTGATTTTCTCTTACAACGGCTTAGCTCATCCTCTCCAATTACACCTCCAACAACCCCACTAGTTGCACAGACCTGCATTTTTTTAGCTCTCTTTTTAGCCTCCCTAACTGCCCTCATATCAAGTCTACCCCAACACTCACAATGCCATGTCATCGCCCTACGTTCCTTTTCCTTGGTGTATGAGCCTTGCACCCTGGTCCGCCCAAAACCTTTATTTTGGCGTATTCCTTGTAATAGGCTTCAACGTCCTGCCATGTTTTAAAAACCATTCCTTCCATGGAGGGTTCCACATAAGGATCAACAGTAACCTTATTACTCGAAACAATGGTGTGGACAGTCTCTACTGTCCTAACTGGCGTCATGTAACAAACATGACTGCCATCTACACAACCCCACCATCTAATCCCGGGGAAACAGAAGGAACCACCTCAACACACCCCCGATTAGGAGAGCACTCAACATCAAAAGCAGTGCTACAACTCATTCCAACTACTCAATCAAACTAATAGATCAAATATACACCAATACCCACAAATATTGTATCCAGTATCTGCTGAATACATCAAATAACAACATACATAAATCACGAAGTTTAATATATGATGTCCAAGTAGCAAAATAATCACACCACAAAAACAGTACCAATTACCAAACTAATCATGGATAATCTAAACAAGTATAATGGAATTAATATAGAATGAATGTGAAACGACAAACTATTGCACAGATAATCTAATCAAATTCATAAAAGCATACGTAGACAAATACTAATACTCCCAATGAGTAGAAACCAACAATGATGATATAAACCCCAATTGAGTTCAAACAATTAAGAAATTAATGTCATCTCAAACAAACCCTATACGACCAACGAATTTATAACAGTATATTGACAAATTTGTATTTTTCGATTTGTTCAGCTTCATCTCGATTTTTTTTAGTTGATTTTCTTTTCTAAATTTTACATTCTACTCTGCTAGATATTTACTCTTTGATAATCAATTTTGTTATTTTTCATTTTATTTTCAGTCTTTCTATCTCTTATATGAACTGTTGATTTAATTATTTTTTTGTTGGTCATTATGTGTATTTTGCAGGTGAAAATTCAATATTCAAACAATATATTTGATTGTAGCTATATCAATTTTGTTAGAAGAAAATTGTCATAATTTTTGAAGTTTGAGAGGATTAGATATGTAAAAATGATTATTCCTTTAACTTATTTAATTTGTATTTTATGAGGTTTTATAAAGGTTGGTTTCAATCTCTTCTAATCAGATCACTTCTTTAATTTAATTAGTGTTTTTCATGAGATTTTTTTGGATCATAATTTTGTTGGGTGTTCCAATTACCCTCCTATAAAATATTCATAATAAAGATACGACCTTTTTCTCCAAATCATTCATTTAATTATATTTATTATCATCATAAATATATAGAGTTTAGTATACTAAATTTATTAATTTTATAGGCTTTGATCTATTTTAGTTTTTATATAGCATAATCATATGTTTGTTGCCTTTGACTTGCTTATTCATACTTATTTAATTTATTTTTGAAATTTGGCTTTATGAATATAATATTTGGTCATCAATTAAATTCTTTACTTTTGTATTGTGTAATAACGAGCGCTTTTCATAGAAATATTACATTAGCAGTTAATTTTTCACTCATTTAATTATATGAAAACACTATTTCAATTAGCGGTTTTGTTTTAACTTTGGGAAAAAAAATAATTGCTAATGTAAACGGTACATCTAAAGCTGTCAATTGGGGTAAACGGGTCGGGTTTGGGTTTGGGTTAGGTAAGTGTAGGTCTAGTTAACTTGGGGTCGGGTCAAATCGGGTTAATGTCGTAACCTATGCGTGTCGGGTTCAGGTTGAGTCATGCTTGAGTCGGATCATGTTAGGTCATACATCTTATCGGGTTTTGGTCGGGTCTATAACAGGTCGGGTTATATTCGAGTCGGGTGAATAATAGGTCGAGTTTAATTCGAGTTTTCACGAGTTAAAATGAGTTAAGGTCATTCTCAAGTTCGAGTCGAGTTCGGTTGAAGTCAATAATTTGCGGGTTATAATCATGTTGGGTCATACTCGGGTTCGAGTCGAGTTCAGTTCAAGTAAAAAAATTGCAGGTGATAATCAAGTTGGGTCAATTCCAAGTCGGGTCATTCTCGGGTTCAAGTTAGGTTTGGTTCAAGTCAATAATTTGCAGGTTACAATCAGATCGGGTCATTTATAAGTCGGGTCATGTTTGGGTTCGTGTCACAAATATTATGTTAATCTTGGTTTCGGGTTGATTTCAGGTCGAGGCATATTGGTTCGGGTACATTTTTTGGTCGGTTTGTTAACAATTCATGTAATGATGTTTACGTTTAATCATTATCGATTTCTTCATTTATTGTAAGAGATATAATTTCAGAAAAGTTCAAATTCGAGCTAATTAGTTCAAATAAGTTTTGATAAGCTATACGTAATGAGTTCATAAAATTAAAATAAAAAATAAAAAAGCCAGTAACAACGTAACTATATAACTATATTTTGATCACTATTAATAAGGTGGTCTACATTGAATTTAATGTGATTTGAAATTAGGTTAGGAACTCACTTGATAATCACTTCTATAAAAATATTGGAGTACTACTACACCAATTTACATTTACAAATAATAATAATAATAATAATAATAATAATAATAATAATAATAATAATAATAATAATAAAAGGGCTTAATCATATAATAAGATTTTTTAGAGAGGAACGAAAACATAAAATAACTCTAACAATTTGATATTTGGGTTGTGTTGATCGATGATTTAGTAGGTTCTTTTTATTTTAATTACTTCATATGGTGTTATATTTTATTTTGTAGGTGAAGCAGACTATTTCAATCTCCTATCTTTACTAGTTTTGTTTTTGGATATAGCAATTATTATTTTAATTAACTTTCTGTTTATAATTTATTTATGCTATGTTTGGATAAGAAATTAGAAGGGAAATGGAAGGGAGGGAAATAGGAGGAAGGGGAAGGAAGGGAAAGTGGAGGAAATGATGAGCTCCATTTTCCCTCCAAATCTCTCTAATTTTGAAGGGATGGTCTTTATTAAAGGAGGAGGGAAAATGGATCCCTCCCTCCCCCTCCCCTTCCCTCCCCCAACATATTATCCAAATAAGAAACTTTGTCTCCCTCCCTTTCCCTTCCCTTCCTTTCCTTCCATTTTTGGTTATCCAAACATAGCCTTAGTGTTTTTTTAATATTACAATTGTTATACCAAAATCAATTTACATACCCAAGAGTAATTGCGCTATTGAAATATACACTTTTTTATATTCCATTATTAGTTATAACCCGCACATTAGCATGGGCACATACTAATTTAGTTAAGAATGGTAGAGTCAATTTTTACTTTTTTTACTATACTAGGGCAGTCAACGCGCGCGTTGCGCGCGGAATGGCTAGCCTTTAATTTGCAACTTAATTTTACTTGTCTTGTGTTTGCACTTCACATGGAGGAATAAAAGACCGTCAAATGAATATACTACCTCTGATTCAATTTACTCGCAACAAAGAAATATCTTATGTCTCACAAATAATACCCTTTGTTGCGAATAAATTGAACCGGAGGTAGTATTTTTATTGCTTAGGCATTGTTTGTTTGTAGTCGTGCTAAGTTGAATGTTATGTGTGAAATATCTCGTAAATATTGAAAAAAAATCTTTATTTTATTATTTGTATATGGTGATTCTTTTAATTGAAATACTATGTAGAGTCACTGTAGAATATAATTCTTAGGTTTTTCAATGATGATGCAGAAAATGAACAAATGTTAGAATTGTTGTTTGTTTATTTTCGCAGTGTTGATATTAACATTACTTAATTGTGGTGGTACAATACGAAATAGAGAAAGAATCATCAATGATGAAACCGAAACGACCAATTCATAATCCACCACAGAGGCTAACAATATTAAACAACCGCTATATATTAGTATTGTCAAATTTATTTTGGCCACAATTTGATTTGGAAATTTTGGAAAGGTGGTGAATAAAGATGTGGAATTTAGTACTTGAAAATGGCAATGACAGTGTGGAGAGAGAAAGTTAAAAGCTTTCAAGAGATGGAGTCATGGAGAGGAGGAGAGAAAGCTCAAATGTGTAAGGAAATGTAGACGGGTAAGAACAATTTGAAATTGGACTATTGGAGTACAAAATTATAAATAAGGGTACAAAGGTAAAACACATTTTGAATGGTAAATAGGGGTACAAAGGTAAAATAACAATTTGAAGAGTATAAAACTCCGTGCACTATTCATAAGAACAACTTTATACTTTTTATAAAGTAGGGATATTCCAAAATAAGTGGTATATAAAGAGGCCAACCGACCCAAAATTAACAAAGATTTCCCGCGACGATTAATCCTTTGAACTCAAAAAAAAACAATAACACCACTTCAAACTTCAAACCCAACTACCGCTGTAATAACAAGCCCACCCATTCATATCAATTCTCAAAGAAAACTGGGATTTTTGGGGTCACAATTCACAGATCAACATAATTATGCTTGAATCAGCCAACCAATTCGAAGAAAATGATGCATTATCTGATTCATATCTCTTTTACCAAGATCCCAATTCTGAATTTTATGAAGAACCCTCAATTTCTCTAGACGAAAATGGATTCCCGCAACCTCAATTCAACGAACAATTTGAAGAACAACAACCCCGCAAAGTTGATTGTGATTTACTCAATGAAAATTCAATTGGGTGTTCGAGTTCGAGTTCAAGTTCGGTTTCGAAAGACGGGAGCTTTGCTGCCGATTTCTATCGAAGTGGGTCTGATTGGTCTAGCTTGAAATTGCGAGTTGATTTGCCTTTGAAGTCAAAGAAATTGAAGCAAAAAAACCTTTTTCAAATGTGGGGGCTTAAACCAGAAAAGCATGAAAAGATGGAAAATGAGAAGAAAAACGATAAAAAGAATGAAACCCACATTGGTGCTCTTCCTGATATGAAAACTGATACACATTTAAGCCCTCCTTGTGTTCCTGCTGACCCTTTTCGTGCTGGAAATCGAGCTTTCGGAATCGATTCAAAGGCTTCTCAGAAAAGGAAATCATTCATGGTACAAGGAAATGCCAGGTCTTGCCCTTTCTATAAGAAGATTCCAGGTTATCAGCTCCCTTTTTTTCCTTTTTTTTTTAATTTTTTCGTTACTTTATATTAGTGTTTGAATTGTTTGATTGGATGCAATTGATAACTTCCAATTTTGAGCTCTATAATAGTAATATAAAGATAGCAATACTATTCATTTTCAGCTTGAGAATGTGTGGATAATTGTGATTATGCTGAAATTGCTAGAATTGGTCTAGAAGAATTTTGAATCAGTTATTGTCCTTTTGGGTTGTGATCTTGTCTAAATCATATTGGAATTTCTTATTCAAATGATAATGATAGTGTGTGGGTGTGGAAATGAGGGTCTGGTCATTCTTGTTTCGGGAATTGTGCTTGGGGTTCGAACCTTTATTGGAATGAAGCAACCAAGTGATAGGTGTTTTTGGTACTATAGATAGAGCAAATAGGTCCTGTCTTATTGTGAACTCGGGCTGTGTTTGGTTGCAAGGGAAAGTCAGTTTTCGAGTTTAACGAGTATATGTTCCCATTTTCCTTAATTGGTTTGTGAAGAACAAATAATTTTCGTGATCTGATATTAAATTTCCTGACTCCTAAGTGGAAAAGATTTTCCTTACTTGGAGAAGATGGTATATTAAAATACATCTTTAATTTTATAGGGTAACACTGCCAAACACAGCTTAGAACTTCCATCTTCTTGAGTTAGTTACAGTCAATTGGAGTGTAAATAAATTTTTAGGCAATAAGGAATTGGAATTTATAAAAAATTATCACATCTTTGCTAATGTTATTTATTGGTTTGGATGCAAATGATGAGAAGTACTCCTAGTCCTACCTGTTGTTTCATATTCAATAAAGGATGGAGTTGAAAAAACTCGGAGGATAAAAGGAACTAGTGATAGGATTTGAAAAAGAAAAAAGATGACTTGGATGAAGGTTAGAGAAACAAACAAAAGAACAAAATAAAGAATCCCATTAACATCCATAGCATACAGCTTAGGATTGAACTGAGTAGGGAAGAAGGTGTTGTCATTAACTTGCTTTGATGTGCTCAGATCTGTGGTTGTGTGAGTCAGGGTGTCACTAGCCTTGAACTCTTTCGAATAAATTACATTTTTTCTATCGATCATTCTCCAGTACGTCAATAGGCTATGTTTTAACAGGTTGTCCATCATCTTCCAGGTACTCCCTTTACTGTGGACGCATTTCGATATGGTGCTGTTAAAGGCTGCTCCTCTTATTTTCTAAGTCATTTTCATGCTGATCATTATGGTGGGTTAAGCAAGGCATGGTCACACGGCCCCATCTATTGCACCTCTATCACTGCTCGCCTGGTTAGAATGTGTCTCTATGTTAATCCATCGTAAGGACTCCTACCGTGACTCACTTATATACGAGTCTGTTAAGGTCTTGCCTTCATTTTGCTATACATACTCATATAATATGGATGTATCATTTATTGTGTATAGTATGTTTTGCATTGTTATGGGAACAGATACATATGCCCTTTGGAGTTGGATGTTGAACACCTAATAGATGGTGTCAAAGTGACACTGTTAGAAGCCAATCACTGCCCAGGTGCTGCCTTAATTTACTTCCGTCTTTCAGATGGACAGCGTTTTTTACACACAGGAGATTTCAGAGCTTGTAAACGCATGCAAACCTATCCCCTTCTTGTAAATAACAAAGTCAATGTAATTTACCTAGATACAACTTATTGCAACCCAAAATACAGGTAATATGTGTGCCCATTAGATTTTTTATATTCTGCAGTTTGCAATATCTTACATATATGAGCATTGCAGGTTTCCTTCAAAAGAAGAAGTGACGAGCTTTGTTGTAAGGACTACTAAGACCTGTCTCAAAAGGCAACCAAAGACCCTCATTGTAGTTGGGGCATATAGTATTGGGAAAGAGTGTGTATATATTGCCATTTCAGAGGCAATAAAGGTATTTCTTTGACCTTACTATTTGGTGATTCCATATACAGTCATTTTCCTTCATTTTGATGTAAGATGGATAGTTTTATTAGCTCTGAGTAGATATGAATAGGGATTATGACATTATCTCACGTTATAAAACATGGCTTCATTTTTGGTAAATAATGTAGTGATCATGATAGTTTGTAAAATACTTGTATTTGATAAAACATGTGTGCCACTACCTTTTATCTCCTTTTTCCTTAACATTCAATTGTGTTCTATCGTTTAGTCTTGTATCCGTGTTTTACTGAAGTAAAGTGTACACACACTACTCTTTACTTCTTAACCTGCTACTGCATGTAAAACAAAATGTCCCCCAACAGCTTTTTTCAACAGGAACTACCTTATAAGTTTCATGACTATGCAATAGAAACAGATTTGATGAATCCATAAATTTACAATAGAAATATGATGACAGTTCACCCCAAAAAAATCGGAATGGCTACTGTGACACTGCTGTAAATGCAGTATGTTTCAAGTGCATAGTGAACGTTAGAGAACAAAAAGTCCTTTTGCTACCGCTATGTTTATCTTGCTTGTTCTCCTGTCTTATTTTTCAGTTGAGTCGGTCCAATTTTTTTTGGAAAAAAAGAGTTCTAACACATTGTATTCAAGAGTCGCTAAAGTCTAAGGACTTCCAGTGATGTCTCAGAGTGTAAAAGCTGTAGGACTTGGACACTTTATTTGGAATAGCATTTTTTTCCTTTTGTTTTAGAGAATATATAAGGGCTGCATACACTAAATTGATGGGTGCAGTAGTCATTATCAATTATCATATAATGTAGATACTAAAACATGGCCTTCTTTAAGCATATAATGCGGATGCTAAAAAAATTTGATGATCATCATGGCCTTTAACTGAAGTAAATAATATAGCAGATTGCTTGGTAATCAGTTATATGGAATCAGAGGCAATATAGCATATAATGCAGTAAGAAAGTTGATTGCTATCATGATTACAAGAAATTACAATCTAAAGTGCGATGACTTACCCATTTGAGAATTAAGATAGCTTGTACAAAGTAGATGATGAAACATCTCTTATTGTCTTCATCTTGCTTCAATTATTATAATGCATATATAACAGATTCAATTTCCCTCTTAATAAATCCCTAAGACTATAAATGAATTATGTGATAGGCTTACAGAGGTGGGTTTTGTTTATGGGATTTTAACTGTGATGGAAAGAGTGTTTCTGATGACACCCTGTGAAGGATGAGTTTTAGCAATATTAGTGAAAGTAACTGTTTCAAAATTCTAGAACTTTGTATCTTTTATTCAATGGAGGCAGCTCATAGAATCCTACTTTAATTTATCCCGGATCAGCTCATATAACGGAGTAGTATTGTTAAGATGATTTCTATGTTGTAGTTTCCTGACTTTATTTCATGTTGACTTTAGGTCAAGATATATGCAAATGCGTCAAGGAGAAGAATTTTGCAGTCCTTTGACTGGCCTCACCTTTCCAAAAATCTCTGCACCAACGGGAAGGATACTCCTCTTCATGTTCTGCCTATTTCATCGTTAAAACATGAGGTGTTAATCTGAATGTGGACCTTCCATTAAAAACATTTTAAGGTTTATCTCTATGGAACTTACATTCATACTTCACAATGTCTTATTTCCTTTTGATTTATGGGCAAGACCCTTAAGAACTACTTGAAGACATACCAGGATCAGTTCAATGCAGTCGTGGCATTTCGGCCAACAGGTAGTCTTGCTGAATGCTGCAAACTGCTGTTCTCTATTTTTTCTTGAATCTATTAAAGTATTAATTGTACATGCTTACCGAGTTATAGGGTGGACATTCTCGGAGTCTGTCGGTAGTCAGTTGGATCTAATCAAACCCAATTCACGAGGAAACATCCAAATTTATGGTAATATAGAAAGAATTTCCAGCAATTAGTACTTCGACTATTTGAAAATTATATCTGCTTAATTTAGTTCTCTCCTTTTACTGTGCAGGAGTTCCCTACAGTGAGCACTCCAGTTTTACTGAACTGCAAGAATTTGTTCAGGTTTGATTCAAATCCTTGCTACTGTTGAAAAGTTATTTTGCAAATACGTTTGTTTACACTACTACTTAGACTTAGTTATTGCTGTATTTCAGTTTCTTAGGCCCAACAAAATAATTCCGACAGTGAACATTGGCAATCCTGCTAACCGGGAAAAACAGCAATCATACTTTCGACAGTGGCTAAATGGCTGAGCAGTAAAAAAGTAGGCCAATTTGTTCATGAATTGCGGAGCATTTTGTTGGAATAATAGGTCATGCTTGGTTGGGCTCATATTGATGACTGTTAGGGAATGGCTCCGATTAAGCCATGATGGTTTAAAGCTACCATCAGCGAGTTTTCTATAGTAGATTCTTGCTCTTGCCCATTATATATTTTTTGATTTATGGGACAAGTAACGAAAGGCAAACACTACAATGTTTCTCCCCCAACAAAAGAAAATTTAGCTTATTGGCAACACATGAATTCATAGCTGCTATTTCAAATGGTACTCAAAGGTTGTATCTCTATTAGTATATTGTGTATCAGCTCTATCTCAAAAGTTAGTTTTAAATGCTGTATATTGGTTTAGTACAAATTTCTTATGCTTTTTTAACTCGTTGAAGTAAGATGCTTGACTACTTTTGCAGTTTTACTTCATAGAAATTTGAAACAAGTTTTACATATCCTTTTGCCATAGGTTATGTTATTTGTGTCTCGAATGCTCCATGTTGATGCATGTTTGGTATTATGGTATTTGGAGCTTGAAGAAGAGAAGCTTAGTAAAAGGCTGACTTTAAATGATCATATCTCAAAATCTAGAAATAATATTGAATTGATTCTAATTGAAAGTGATAGCTTGTTTCAAGAGCTTCCCAACGAGTGGTCATAAGTTCATTTTTTTATAAGAAATTAGTAAATTATAATTTTATGAAAAGTTGTTCTTCTAAGCAAAAGTTTACCCAAGCCCATAGAAGGTTTGCCCAAACATATTGAACAAACCGTCTAGACACTCCTGGTAAATGTTAGCCCGAACTTAAGAGTGAGGTTAGCTCGAACCATTGGTAGTTTGCTCAAGGGTAGGTTAGCCTAAACCTACCTTGTTTTCAAGAACTAAAAATACACTTCGCATAGTCTTTTAAGAGTATGAGAGAGATCACAAGTTAGATATAAATCTAAAACCTAGCTTACTAAGAACACCAACCATCTTTCTCATTTCCTTGAGAATTTCTCCATTGTAGTTCTTCCTCCATTAAAAAGTAATACAAGCTTCAATCTCCCCAAAAGTGGATGGAGCTCATTATGAGTGAACATTTTGTAAGAAGAAGGTGGTAATGTACATAATGAGTATTTTGAGTGGATGGAGCTCATTTTGAAACTATGAAGTATTTTGCGTTCATTAGCTTTCCGTGTTGACCCAAAGGGACTTAATATAAACAATCATTTATTTTCTAAATCAAATAATAACCCCAATGATGGTTTGTTTGTGAGAGGTAGAAACTTTAAAAAGAGTTCTAATAGTAATGGTAATGGACTAATGGGGGAAGAACAAGGAGTCAAGAACAATATTTGGTCTAAGTTGAAAAGGCCAAACCCTAACCGTAACAAGATTTGCAATTATTGACGCATAAAGAGCCTCATTAAATTAGAGTGTTGGAAATGACAAAAGAAACAATCGGTGAATGGTGATGCTAAGAACACAAAGGCAAGGAACCTCAGCTATTGCCAATGTTAGCTTCATTGACACCGATAGTGATAATGGTGCATTGGTTGCCACTAGGGGGAAAATCAAGGGAAAGGATGAATGTCTTCTGGATTCAGATTACTCTATTCATAAGAGTTGGGAATAGAATTTTAAGACTTAGAGAAAAACATGCTTCAAATGTAATAGATTAGAGTAGGACATTAAAACTGGGCACTGATCAATTAGAATTTAATCCAAATGCCTAATTTAAGCTCCCCAATTCTATGATAGAAATTTCAACAAAATTTTGTTTTCCAAGCAGACTACACAGCTTTGCTGAAAATTGTACATATGCTATTATGCTCTAAGTTAGCATAAGAGAGGCAGATAACAATCCACTTTCAAAAGTACACAGCACCATTCTTTTCTTTTATATATTTCCATGGCCACCGGTTGAGGTGTTTCCCCTGCTGCTCAGCAAACAAAGAACTGTAGTAGATGTGCTTGCATCTAGGGGACTTCATATACACATTAATCAATCCCCCACAAATGATGATCTGTTAACTCAAACTTTTGCACAAAATATACCAACCTGAATAACATATAAAATTGTGAAAGAGTTGGACCTGACCAAGCAAAGATATGGCAAACTGCAAAATGCACAAGATCTGGTACATGGTGCCTACTGTATTTGTAGGCCTTGTGGCCTGTTTTCTACCTTATTGACACTAAATGTCATGCACATTGTCCCTTTCACCAGAAAATTAATATATATTCCAAGTATCTTGCAAGAATACATACAAATTTATAGCATAGCTAAGAATATTTAGTGTATAGATCTAGACATTAGAAGTATTCAATGACAGTAATATGGAATGGACTTGGCAAGAATAACAGTTTCAACTATTTAGGATCAACACAACACAAAACCACAAACAATATTAGACACATTCACAGAAAGCTTTGAATGATCAAATTTTTAGTAAATGTACCAGGCACTTCTAGAGATGGTGACCACAAATGGTATCATACTTAGTAGTGTAGATAAATTTTTTATGAGAATTAAAATCAATTAAAACTGATTATTACATAAGTGCAAATAAATTTACCACTCAAAATCATCAAAAAATTAGAGTTTGTAAACCAACACATTATGTACTTGCACAATCTTTCTATCAAGTTACACTATATAACTTTAGAAGACACCAAGAAGAGCTTTCTCCATATTAATCATATAATAGCTAATCACAAAACATGGGCGGATCCACGGGGGGTTCATTCAGATTTTCTGAAAAAAATTATAAGTTTTGATTTTTTTTTTTTTAAATGAAAAAAATAAGGTTAAAAGAAATTTCTGTGAAGTAAATAACCAAATATGCAAGTCTGGCACATTGGTAAGGGAATGACTAATAGAGTAGTGAAGCTCCTCTTAGATCATGGGTTCGAGACTAGCCACCCTTATTTTTTGTTTTGTTTTTCTTCCGTTGTTCTTCTTGAGTTTGTCCATAGTTGGGTCAATAATTTTAGTAGTATGTTGGTCATTTTGTTAAGTTAGAAGGTCAAATAAATTTAGAAGTTATTGAGTTTATTTAGTGGGTTTATCATGGCATTATACTTTCAGTTTTTTAACTTATTATTTGTTGTTTGTTAGCCTATATATATGGTTGTTGTATTTGGTGAATTAAGCATAAAAAAATATTATTGAGTTCCTTATCTTACTTGCTTCATACTTATCTACTATTATTATTGTTTTTATCCTTTAGTACGTATTAGTTTCAATAGTCCTCTTATTCCTCTACTCTTCTTAATTCTTAATCTTTATTTGTTTGTAAATTAGTGATAATTAGATTAATTACTCATTTGTTTAATTAGTTTTGATATATTGTTGAATACTTGAATTGTTGACGTACAAATTGAATTTAGAAACTTAGAATTTAAAATTTTTACATGGTCTTTCAATTGATAATTAGAAAAATTTTACATTGTCAAATTTGTGTTTATTAGGGACTTGGGATTTTTATTTTTCGTGTAATATTGATTTTTATGCAATAGAATTATAGATTCATCATGCAAAAGCCTACACATACAATTGTTGTATGTGGTCCCTACATACAACTCTAATTTGTCATGTTTTGATTGGCTAGAATAATGGGCCCAAGTTCCTTTATATTCAATTTATATTTGACTTCTAATTTTCTTCCTTTTTCTAATGATGTGTCAAAATTTAAATGGTGTTGTATGTAAGGACAACATACAATGGTTGTATGTGTATGAGCTCTCATTTATTTAATGTATTAGCACGCTTTCAAAGTATAAAACTCGAAGAATGCTTTTGTAGGTTTTCTTTTTTTTTTTTTTTTTTTTTGTAACTGTTTAATCCATCCATTTGTAATAAAAATTTGAACTTATATATTGAATATTTAATTAATATATGAGCATCGTTTGTTTTTTAAGATTCCGAACCACAGTTCGGAATTCCTGGATACGCCACTGTCACAAAATAAAACATATCTAAAGTTAGCAAAGCCAAGAATGCACCAAAGATGGTGACACATGTTTGACCTTTTATGAGGAAGAAGACAACAAGAAGTTAAAATTTCTGTATCACCTTTGTTCCAACGCAAACAGTCATAAACAACAGGAGCAAAAGTTGTAGTTTCATAGCCATTTTTTTTAATGAAGCATTTTGGTTTAACTATTTACACAATCAGCAGTATGTATACAAGTTGTTCTGCAACTTAAGCGCACAACATTTAGCTGCATTTACAACAATGTTAATGCAGTTTTCTCACTATGTCTAAAGGCAGCTAAAAGATGCCATGTAAGGAAATTCCTTGCACTACTCAAAAACAAAATCTTAGGAAAGGCCCACTACTATTGTAAAAAGGTAAAACATGTGACTGAACAGAAACATGGATCACATAACTTGATCATTCCAAAAACACACGAGGATATTACCATACTTCTACAACTAACAGTAGGGCTGAAATGGATTATGACAATTATTCAAAGGTGAAGACAGATAAAAATGATTTTGTTTGCTAATATACTTTGTATTTGACAAAGAGGTATTTACTATGAAAGGTCCATTTCAGGTTGGAGAAATCTCATTTCTCATTGTAATAATACTATGACAGTATAAGTGAAAGTAGTGATGATATACTACTATGCTTGGTGATATCTATCAACAAAGATAAATCAATATATACAAGGCATTGGAAAATTGCTCATCCCAAAACAAAGCCAAAAGATGAAGCAATCTCTAATAGGTAGAGCTGCTAGTAAAGACTACGAATATTGTATATTGACGGTCCAACTTCATGAAAAAGGCATGTGCTTCGTATGAATTAATTTCTGTTAAAAAAACCCAGAATAGTTCATGAAGTGAAACAATTTCATTTTTATCATGAAGTGAAAGACAATTACATTTTTAATTATGAAGTTATATATTGGGCCTACTTGGGGAATTCTTTAGTACTATTGCACTTAGAAAGGGAGGATGAAATAATTGGATTTGATAAAATCTATAAGCCTGTTTTATTACTTTGGGCAGATGATGCATGTCAGCATTTTTTACTTTTTATTTTAAAGGTGGTAGAGGTGGTTGCTGTTAGTGGTAAGGGCTAGCCAGCTAGGAGTGTAGAAGTAGATCCTCTAACTAAAACCTAATAGTTGCTTCTTCACACATTTGTAATTAGGAGTATCACAATAAATCGGATAGCCTATTATGCATTGAACACATCTGGCCCATTGGCCAATCAAATTGATATTAGGATTCACCATAAGATTAAGGATAAATTTTAATGATGGATCCATTGGGTAAATATTAAATTTTGGCTGCATATGGAAACACTAAGTTACAAGCATGATAGTACAACTAATGTTGACATTTTAAGATAATTTTTAAAACAAAGCCCCTACAAATAGACAAACATCATTCTGACATCTATCACATTATGAACAATTACCTTACATTGAACCAAAAGCAGTGACAAATGCCTACATTGAACCAAAAGCAGTGACAAATGCCTGCCTAAGTAAAACTTCATACCATCAAAATCATTATTTCAAGTGAATTTTCCAAGTCTACGTCTATTAACATTTTTGAAGCAACTCTAGTTGAATCAGATGGGAAAGTTATGCTGATCCCTGATAACGATGCTTTACAAGAATCTACAAGAAGCATAACCAAAGAAGAGCAAACCACAAAAAATGCACCCCCGTCAAACAGAGGCTATCAACATATCTTAGTTTTTATCTTATAATGTTTATCTCCACTTTCCTTCTTCAACTATAGGATGTGCTTGAGCCAAGCAACAGAAAGTCATCACCTACAGCCAACCATTTGAAAGTTACCCAATGGATAATGGATCCATCATTTGAATATATTCTTGGAGATTTTGGCTTTCAAGAAGCTTCGTTGTTTTTTCCTTTTTCAAAAACATAGTCTATAGTTTTAGTGTTTGCTTAATTTACTCAATGCCTGCAATTCCTAGGAGTCCAAGGGGCAATTATAGCTCATCATTCAAGAGTCTATTCTAACAGCGTCTCTTCTTACATCTTCGCTCCCTTCAAAAATACAGTTCATTCCAGCAAAAAGAACTGGTCAATGTGTTAAGCCACTCATAGTAGCATTGAATTGAGTTTATTATCAATCACATGTACTTGTACGAAACAGATCTAACTTATAAGTTCATCACTAACTCTATTTTAGCCTTCTAACAAAGAGCTCTTATTGCATTGACAGACATGGGAAATTGGGAATTAGGAAGTAGTTGCAATGTCATCAATATCCTAAAATCTATGACAATCAATCACGCTTCCAATAAACAACTTTTTGAAACCATATAATTCTGCTTATTTCTGGGAGTTGACTTAAATCTACCGATAACATCCCGTCATCAAATCAAATCAATCATAAAAACAACAGCCATTTAGCAAATCAAAAACAGATGCAAAACTTAACAACAAAGCCAATAAAAACATTAAACCAACAACAAAAAAGAAGAGAATATCCCAAAAGGCAAAATCACAAAAGCTTGAAAAACAAGACATCAAAAATCCTAAATAAAAGTTCATAAATTACCTTAAAAAAATACCCAAATTAAGCCTGAGTTCCAGTCAAAGTCTTCAATTGAACATGATTAGTATCAGCAGCAGTAGGCAAAACCTCATACGAGCCCCCAAATCTTCTAGAAACACCCAAAGCCTTAGAAACCACAGCATAAACCACAAACACCAAAACCACAACAACACCCACATGAATCAAAAACATAAAATCAAGAATCGCAACCGCACGAAGCTTAGATTCCTCAAGCTCACATTTGGTCGACCCTTCAACCCCACTAACAACATCAAGAAGACGATGACACCCTTCAGGAATAAACGCCTCCACATAGAGAGACAACCCAGTTTGCAGAGCCCACAAACCCTGCAAACACACCGACGCAGCGAGGCCAACGTCGAAGGCGGACACCCTGGGAAAGGCGGCAAGAGCGAGGGAGAGAATAGAGGAGATGAGAGAGATGGTGGAGGAGATGGAGTCGCAACGGGATTGAAGATCGGAGGTGAGAAGAGCGGAGCGAGAGGAGGAGACGGAGGAGGAGAGGAAGAACGAGGCGGAGGCGAGAGCGAAGAAGAGGTCGGAAGGGAGGAGAGAGAAAAGAGAGGTGGATTCGGAGAGGAGGAGAGAGAGGGAGAGGAGGAGGAAGAGGAAGGAGATGGAGGCGGATTGGAGGGAGGTGAAGAGGTGGACGGGGGAGTGGCCGTGGATGAGGGGGTCAGAGAGGGAGGAGGAGAGGAGGGAGTGGAGGAAGGAGAGGAGGAGAGAGGTGATGAGGAAGTAGAGAGGGAGGAGGCGGAGGTGGGAGGAGGAGAGAGGGAGTGGGTGGAATGGTTTGGAGGTGAAGGATTGTGGGGATTTCAGGAAGTTGCGGGTGGTGGAGATGAGGTGGTAGAGGCCTAGGGAGAGGAGGGTTGTGGAGGTTAAGATTTGGTAGATTATTGATGACATTTTTGGATCATAGGAGTGGTGATTGTCGGAATTTGAATTTGAAAGGCGTGATGGAGTTTTTTATTTTTTGGTTTTCAAAGTTTGGAATGGGGGGTTTGGCGTCACTGCGTGAGGAGTGATTTAGGGGGAGGGACCCAGAATGGTGATGACCGATGAGTAGAAGAAAGTATACTCGAGCAAAGTTAGACCACTCTCAATGGTGAGCAAAAAAAATGCTCACCCACTCTCTCTCTACCCACTTTCTCTCTCAAGAAATAAGTTTTGCTCATGGGCAAATTTTTTTCACATATTCTCTCCCAATGGTGAGCAAAAAAATTGCCCACCCACCACTCTCTCTCTCTTACTTTTTCAATACCCCACCATTACTTTCTCTCTCCTACACAACACTTCTTTACTTATTTATTTCATTTATATTTTAACAATGTTACTCCAAATAAATAAAAACTAGTTAAAATTTGTGTAACTTATTTTTTTTATTTTTGTCCTTTTTATCGTTAAAATTTGTCGTAAAATTAAGTACGTTATATAAAAAAAAATTTAAAAAAAGCTCAAAATTTCTTAAATGTTTTTATTTATTTTAAAAGCGGTACAATACTAGAAACCAATTACATTTGCAACGTCATGCGTAATTAAACTTAGGAAATAAAATAAACACAACAAGTAAAAGTAGCTACGCCATAGTACTTGGCTTTATTTAAGTCGTGCTAATTTCTCCCTAATTACGTGGCCCGTAGTGTTGCCAAATATGTTCGACTAAATCACGTTTCAGAGATAGATGAATTTCTCTGTCACGGAGGGAAGCTTTTCGCTGTAGAAATGCGTTGAAATCAAAGTTGGTAGGTCGGCCTACGTTGAATTCAAACGGTGGCGTTGTAGATGTTGATGCTGGTGTTGATTCTTGTTGATCTTTTTCGTAGAAGGCTCTTAGAACTTCGGCTCGAGTGTAGTTGTGGCGCTCATCTTCAACAATCATGTTGTGCATAATGATACATGTTTTCATTATGTCCCGCAGTATGTCCTCATCGTACGCCAGCGACGGTTTTCGTATTATTGCAAATCGAGCTTGCAACACACCGAAAGCTCTTTCAACGTCCTTTCGAGCGGCAGCCTGGTGGTCAGCGAACATTTTATCTTTGGCCAGTTGAGGGAATGTGATACCCTGAACAAAAGTTGCCCACTTCGGATAAATGCCGTCGGCTAAATAATAAGCCATGTTGTATTCATGGCCGTTAACCGTAAAATTTACCGGAGGAGCTCGACCATGCAGAACCTCATCGAACACTGGTGAACGGTACAACACATTAAGATCATTACAAGATCCGGGAATACCAAAGAAGGAATGCCATATCCATAAATCCTGATCCGCAACGGCTTCCAGTATTAGCGTTGCTTTCTTGTTCCTACCGGCGTACTGCGCTTTCCAAGCCGTTGGACAGTTCTTCCATTCCCAATGCATGCAATCAATGCTGCCTATCATGCCTGGAAAACCACGCAGTTCATTTTGATGCAGTATCCGGGCCAATTCATCAGTTGTAGGGTTTCGCATGTACTCGGTTCCGAACTGGTCAATGACCCCGGCACAAAAACGTTGTAGGGCAACTCGAGCGGTTGACTGACTGATTCGAACGTATTCATCAACAGCGTCTGCAGCCATGCCATAGGCTAACATTCGTATCGCGGCTGTACATTTTTGCAGAGGTGATATGCCTAACTTTTCAGTTGCATCCCTACGCTGCTGGAAGTAAACATCACCTTCAACGACCTTGTTCATTATACGTAAAAACAAAGGTCGTTGCATACGAAATCTTCTTCTAAATTGGGTGGTATTGTACACAGGATTATCGGAAAAATAATCATTGAACAGTCTGGCATGTCCCATTTCCCAATCTCTTCTGTTCGTACCCCCTCTACGTGATTTTGAAGTACGTTGAGATTGTGTTTGGGGCATGAGGAAAGATGTGGGTTGGTATGTGAAGAGTTCATCAACGAGTTGATCATATTCTTCATTATTGGAAGAAGATGAACTTGAACTTGAACTTGATGATGGTCTGGAATACATCATGTATTAATATTGTAATTTTCTTAATTGGTGTGGTTGTGGATATGTGCCATGCCTACTATATATAGCAAATAAATCAAATGAATATGTGGTTACAAATCTGAATGACCACACCAACTAAAGCATTCAAATTTTCAGCCACGGAATAGGTATACTATGCTAGTTGACAATGACAAATCTTGACAAAGTGAATTCAGAACAAAAGTGACTACACCATGTCGGTATGAATGACCTAGTTAAAGCATACTGACAAAGTTAATTCAGAAACATGTGACTACACAATGACAAAAATGTGACTACTGAATGATAAAGAGTTATTGCAATTTTGTTGCCATGAATGACCCAAAGTTAAAGTGAAATCAGAAAAAAAGTGACTACCCAATGACAACAATTGAATGCAACTATGTCGGTAACAATGACAACTGAAATCAACTTGTTAAACAACTTGTCATTCAATATTGGAAAATCAGAATACAAGTTTACATATGACAGTGAAATTAAACACACCACTAATACATGTTAAACATAAAAGACTACATTGCGCATAATTAAAAACTTAACTAATACAAGCGTACACCTACTACAACTAAACATGCTTATAAGCCCTGTAATTTACCCAGTAAGAAATTCTTGTACGACTCTTCTTCAGGAGTGAGTGGCGTAGGCGAATTCTTCATAGCTTGCACCATATCAAACCAGGTTTTCATCTTATGAATGTCAAGTTCCTCCCTTTTCCTCTGTTCCTTCTCCCTTTCAATTTTGATCCGCTCTTCCTTCAGAATGGCCTCCCTCTCGCGAATTGTTGCCAATTCCTTCATTCGTTCGCTAAGCTCAGACGAACCACTGTCCGAAGCTACTTCTTTCCCTTTACGCTTGGCCTTTGCTTTCTTCACACCTTCGGGTCGTTGTATTCCTCCAGATGAAAAACCATCCGTAGGGGTTTCATCCCCTCCATCATCTCTGGACCTCTTCCCACTTCCAGCACTACCTTGCTCCTCAACATCACGAACAGCTTTTCTTTCCTCCTTTGACAAGGACCATCTCAGCTTTGGCCTCCACTTTGGATCTCTATTAAGCATTTCAACAGCGTGAGGAAAAGCGAAATTACGACCTTGGGCGAGATGGAAAAGCTTCGACGCACTTTTTATACGGTCAGCTTCGTTGTAACCACTCCCTCCCTCCGGAAGTCTACCTGCTTCATCATAGCAAGATATCCACTGTAGTGTGTCTGCTGCCAACCTTCTCCAGTGCGACGTCAGACTCTTCATAGGTCTTGGTGGAAGTATATGCGGCTTCTCCGCATGAGCAAGTTGATATGCTGCGTGTACATCGCGCCAAAGGGAAGTTGCTTTCTGGCTCGTGCCTTTAATAGCATTCTCGCTGATCTCCAAGTACAACCCAATCAGAGTTTCATCTTCCGCAACTGACCAAATTCGAGTCGCTCGTGCAACAACCTGGTTGGATTTCAGTTCGGGAACTGGTGGAGGATATTGCGGCGTCTCTGGTACGTTGTCTTCTTCGCTCTCATCGAATTGTGTGTTGCTATCATGTTCAATTTCAGGTGTACATTCTTCATTAACATGGTTTCGTAGGGGAAACTGAGTAGGTGTCTGATACTGTGGAGGTGGTTGCAAAGACGTATTGCCCATTCTTTGCAAGAACAATTGAAACTCGGGATTAGTTAGGAAATCATCACTAAAACCAGAAAATTGTTGACGGAAATTTGGGTTGTTTGGATCCATTAAAAGATTCTGCATCACAAAACAAAAGATAAATATTTTTACTAAGATTTACTCAAAAAACAAATTAAAATGACAACAAATCCAAAAAAATATCAACAACTTTATTAACCAATTCACATATATACTAATTTAAAGTCATAACTAAATTTTAATATTAAAAAAACAAATTAACCAATAATTTCAAGACTTTATTAACTACAAATTTAGTAATGTATGGAGAAAACATCAACAACTTTCTTCAATTACATAATGCAATTACAGTACATGGCCTACAATATTTTTTTTTAAAAAAAACACACATATACTAATTTTAATACATAACTACATGTATATATTTAAAATAAAATTAACCAATAATTGCAACACTTTATTTACTACAAATTTACTAATGTAAGGAGAAATTATCAACAACTTTCTTCAATTACATAAAGCAATTACATAACATGGCATACAATATTTTTTTTTTTCCAAAAATCACATATATACTAATTTTAATACATAACTACATGTATATATTTTAAAAAAAAAAAATAACCAATAATCAACACTTTAACTACAAATTTAGTAATTTATGGAGAAAATATCAACAACTTTGTTTAATTACATAATGCAATATAATTACATGGCTTACAATATAATCACATATATACTAATTTAATTACATAACTGAATTTAAATATTTTAAAAAAAAATTTACCTCAATATGGATGTTTTGCAACAAATATATTCTTCTACAAATTTAAAATGCTTAAGAAAATAAAAAAGTGGAGGATTTTAGGTGATTACGAAATTATATCAAAACATATCAAAATGCATGTCTATTTATAGAGAATTTAATTTTATGACCGTTGGTAATTTTTTTTTTTTTTTTTAACAAATATATTTTTCGGAAAATCAGTTACAAATAATATTACCGTTGTAAACGGCTAGTATTTTCTCATTGGTCAATAACCTGCGCATGACACGTGGCTGCACCCCATTTGCCATCTGACTGACGCGCGTCAGATCAGATTTTAATTTTTTTTCAGCAACCCAACATCAAAACACAGCGTTTTGATGCACACCCTTCAGCCCACTTCAACGAAACACCGCGTTTTGACGAAGGGTCAGCGAAATTTTTTTAATGCTATCTGCACGTTGTGGGGCCCACAACCACCACTATTCATACCAAAATATGCTCATGCTGTGGGCATTTTAATAAATGCTCATGAGCATTTTTCTTGTAATTTCCATTTGCTCACCATTGTGATGATTGATCTAATTTTAATTCCATCAAAAATGCTCATGATCAAAATTTTTGCTCACCACTACCAGTGCTCTTAGAAACGTTGAAAACTTCGGAGTACCCCGTATTCCTCCCTAATTTTTATTTAAGCCCGGTTTGATCTGATGTAAAATATTTTCAATGAAAAATTAATTTTTATTAAAAATTAGTTTTTATGAAAAATATAATTTTTTGGTAAATTACAATTGCAAATTAATTTTCCATTATTTGGGTTGCATATAAGAAAGCAGTGACGTATTTATGAATTTAGAAGTGTGGGTTTGCTTGTCCATGCAAATTCTATGACTTAAATATCTTAGATTACATTTTTGTAAAAATTAAAGAAAGTTGATATCATTAAAGTATTTTTTTAGACAAATTGAATCTAACAAGATACCATTTGAGAATCACAAATTAAAAAACGATAGGAGTGTGAGTAAATATTGAAAATTACAAATGTTGCAATATTAAATTTGAATGTAGGTTACATAGTAATGAAAAATCGAACTTCTAACTAATAAGCCCAAGGTGCAAATTAGTGAGCCTGGCCAAAACCACCGAGCTCTGCTATTTTCCAACTTTCATTTAGGCACATCAATTATATCCGTTACATAGTATATATCTGTTTTTCATGTTTTAAAAAAAAAATACAAAAACAAAAACTAGGATTAAATGAAAACCCAAAAGATCGAGAAAACCCTAGCAAAAACTAGGATTAAAAGATACCTAATTAGGTTTTCCAGCTACTTAACCCATAAATAACGTCATTTGGCAGCCCGACGCCTAATTAACATATCGTTTTAATCCTGATTAACCCTATTCTCATTGAATTTTTACTTTCTCTATTTCTTTAAGGAAAAATTGATTCTAATAATCTCACCTTTAACCAGTTCGCCATTAATAATCCCACCTTTAAATTATTATCTAATAATCCCACCTTTGTAGGGAATCTTCTTTTATTGGTCCCTTGTTACCGGTAACCTGAACATTAGGTAAACTTTTTTTTTTTAATTTGAGTGACATGTGTCACTAAATAATTGGTCAAAAAATTGGTAAAAGAAAAAAAAAGAATACATTTTTTTTTTGAAAACCCAGCCAGCCTCCAACAAACACCCTAAGGTTCTAACCCAACCTCCAGCAGCCCCTCCTCCACCACCGAACCCCCATCCCCACCGCCGGAACACCCATTCCCACTCTTACCTAGAAAAAAACCGCCCCAATTCCAACCCTCACACCTTCGAAAAAACCATCGAACCCATTAATTTCAATGAATTCAAAAAAAAAAAATCAATGAATCAATTTCTTCAAGGGATGGCTTGAGGTTGAATTTGGGTAAGAGTTTCGGGGTTTTACGGTGGTATTCGGCGGTTAGATGGGGTTTTCGACGATTAGAAGGGGGGTTTTTGGCAGCTGGGTTGGGTTTTATGGTGGTGGCTGTGGTGGTCGAGGGTGGGATTCGGGTCAGGGGGTGATTTTGGGGGTTGCTATTGGTTGGCGGGGTGGTTTTCGGTTATGTGTGGTTCCGACCAGCCACTTGCGATGGTTATGGGTAGCAGCCAGTCTGTTTTTGGTGGTTCCAACCGGCCATTTGTGGGGGTTATGGGTGGGTTCACGGTGGGTCAGTGGGTGGGGGTGGCTGGTGGGTTTCGTTTTTTATTTTTTCAATTTTGTTTTTTTGTTTTTTTTTTTTAAGTTTAACTTTTCAGCTAATTAAAAAATGACACATGGCATCTTAACCTATGAAAACAGGTTACCAATAGGTAAGGACAAATAGAAGAGAATCCCCTATAAAGGTGGGATTATTAATGGCGAACCGGTTAAAGGTGGGATTATTAGAATCAATTTTTCCTTTCTTTAATTGCACCATTGGGATTGAGCACGTGATTTAATAAAAGGTGTATAAGATAGAGTATGTCAAAAGGCTACACATACAAAGCTAGTATGTGTAGGCCCACATACAAAGTTTGCTGGCAGCCTCTCATTGGGTTACTTAATGGGGCCCACTCCTACCCAAAAACCAAATTTCAGCAAAAAAATTCAGCCAAAATTTCAAAATTCACCCAAATTTTCAACCAGCATATTTTGAAATTGAAATTTATTTTTTTTCCTTTTTTTTGTTAATATTTTTCTTTTTTTTTTATTTGGCATTCCAGAAAAAAAAAAAGGAGGTTTTGTTCTTCTCTGTCGCCGCCATCTTCTTCAATTACTCCAAATTTTTTTTTTATAACTTCATCTTTTTCGCTCGGATGTGTAGCCAATTGATCCTGCTGTTCATCCTTCCATATTGAAAGGCCTTTTGTTGAATTTTTATGGAAGCTTTGATGGTGTTCACTCAGAATAATTAAAGCTTTTTTGGTGTATAATCAACGAAATTTACATTCCAATTAATAGTTGTGTCTAGTCTTGAACACTGATTTATGGTCATGTTATTAATTTACAGTGGATTTGTTAATTTATTGTCTAATTTGTGTGTTGTATCCATTAACAATCGACAAATTTTTCCTCCAATGTAAAAAGATAAATTGTGAAATTTTACATTGTTGGAAAAAATAACATATGATTCGTCAATAATGGATAAGATTATAATTGATCTTAGTCATTCAATATTCAAGTTTGAAGGATCATTCCGGTGATTAAAATGGCTAACATGTTGATTTGCAGGGAAGACGACGAAAAGGACAATTCAAGTCGAACGCCGTATTTTGAAAATTAATCAGAAACAAATAAATACTGGAAACTTAGTAATACAATTCCTATACCTTGACCACTTATAAATTGTTACTAAATTTTTTTTTAACAAGTACATAAGTGTAACTTATAACGAAAATAATAACTACATAAGCACCGCTTGGTTTCCAAAAAAAAAAAAAAATGAGTACCGCTTGGTAAGGGTGTAAGTGTAATTCACTTATCCCAAGTCTAATTTGTTCCATTTTGATCTAAATGGTCACACTCGTTAAGCTTGTGCCCTGAGTGAGTGGCGAGTTTCTTGAAACATTTTAGGGAACGCCGACAGCTGTCGAAATCGCTAAGAGGGGTGCTTGGGCACGTGTTCACTCCGTCTACCTTGAAATCCCGCCGACCGTCTAACTAAATGTGATCAAGCGTCAGCGTAACAACTTCGTTCGAAAATGAAGCTGTACCGTGGAAACTCCTATTTTTAGCCTAACACACATCGGTACGGCTTTATCGTTTAAGCATGGGATAGGAAAAAAATTCAAATTCGCCAGCTCGAGCGGTTATGAGTTCGAGAGGGACCAAGGAACGCGGACGCATTTTATGGTCATCGAGAAACACCTCCATGCGGTTTTCTTTTTTCCAATTAACGTCTGCGGTAGGATACTTGTGCCTTTGTATTGAGCCTATGAAAAGTTCGGGGCAACCCCCCCCCCCCCCAAGAGTGGGCCAACCCCGTGCGATTAATGCCCTAGCTGTCACAATGTCAACTTTATGTTAATACCAATTAAGGTTTACCGTTAATAAAAATTAGATTATAATACCAATAAAAGTCTTTTTTCACTAATACAATATGTTACTTCGGATTGAAATTAAACTGCTTATCAAAATTTATTTTAACCAAAATAAGGATGTATAGAGATTCGATCCCTACACAATTTATTGTATCAATCTGTGAATATTACGTTTGCATAAACTCAAATCTGTAATACCAAATCTTTAGCATCGGATTCAAGCCTATATATGATACGTATTCCACGCGGTTTTCTTTTACCCAATTAATGTCTGCGGCAGGTTACGTATTCCTTTGTATGTAGTCGATAACAAGTGTGGGGCAACCCCACCCTGTTCGATTTGTGCCCTAACCATCACGAGCCTTTAATCTGTGCACATGTGTTTACTTCCTGGTAATCTAGTGTAAGACGTTTCATTCGGAGACTTATATCAATTTTATCTGTCGGTGCTTGCTTAGCCTAAGCTTTGAGTAATCATCTCAATACTTGTCTCCTTTATGACAAATAATTTTTCTTTTTTCTTGAAATTGTGATAGTTATAGCGCGAATTGAACAAGGTAGGGTTGGCCCACTCTTATTATTGGCTGAGTGAAGAATATGTTTGAATTTCTCCTACATAGTACAGTGCAAGATCCCGTTAAAAGGTTTCACACCACCAGCCTCTCTCCGGCTGTGAGAAAATAAATTGGTGGGCACCGCTGTTTAATTTAATCACTAATACAATACTTGTCTCCTTTATGACAAATAATTTGTCTTTTTTCTTGAAAAGTTATAGCGCGAATTAAACAAGGTAGGGTTGCCCCACACTCATTATTGGCTGAGTGAAGAATATGTTTGAATTGCCCAAACATAGTAAACTACAAGATCCCGTTAACGCCCGTTTACAGGAATCACACCACCAGCCTCTCTCCAGCTGTGAGAAAATAAATTAGTGGGCACCGTTGTTTAATTTATTCACTATATAAAAAATTGTCCAATGAGACAGACGACACCATATCGCTTATTTGTATAATAGAGACCCTTTTGTATGTAGTATTATTTGCACGTAAATGTCTATGCCAATGTTAAATTTTGTATTTTTATATTGCACCTAAAAAATTTCAGTTACCGAACTACAAGTATTTTTACCAATCTATAATGATTAGTTTCCGATTAAACCTTATTTTTACCAAACTAAAATGATAATGTCCCGATCAAACATTATTTTTACCGATTCTTTTTTTTATTATTATTATTGAATCCATATATATATATAATAAATGGATCTCATTTTAAAGAACTTTTTTTACCAACAATTAATATGACGGAAGTAACTACATAAGTACCGCTTGGTAAGGGAAGTTTAATCGTTTCGTGCAGGTACCGGAAACCTTAGCGTGCCAGCGGTGTGCATACAGTCAGCTACACGTATTCCGTAGGGATGCTTTATTTTCCGTGCCCTTTAGTTGCGTGTAGTCCTAATCACTTATACAAGCGACGAAGCTGATTATCTTCCGT